CCACAACGCCCGGCTGTTTTTTGGTTGCAGCCATTATTGTTGTTTGGCGGGCCTGGGCTGGATTCGAACCCGCCACCTTAGGTGTATGTGGCTGACGCCTTAGCCACTTGAGCCACAGGCACCGAGCCGAACATTTGGCTTTTCTTGTTCGTTTTTGCTTCTGGGTTTCCTAGTGCTTGCTCAGACTTCCTTTTAGTGTTGAATTCAAACCCTAGGTAAGGAGGAAACGTTCTTGGATTGACATTACAGCCTTTCTGTTTATCCTCATCTCTAGAAGAGAAATGGGAAAATGTTTAGTTTTTTCAAACTGTTGTTGCCTTATTATTCTTTTAATGGTGCACCTGACCTGACTCGCTTCCAGGGGTGCACCGAGCGGTTCGTGTCGAGCCCAGAGGAGGTCATGGATGTGATAGATGAAGGCAAAGCAAACCGACACGTGGCCGTAACAAGTAAGCACGGTGGTGCGGTCTCCTCCCCGGGAACTCAGGGCACAGAGTCTGGCCTACACCGGGAGGGCGGGGAATGAGGCAGAGTGAAAGAAGGTGTGGGAAGGCGCTGGGGAGCCTGCTGGGCAGGGACTGCGGCTGTGTGCAGTACGGCTGTGTTGGCAGCGGGGGAAGGGCACCTTCTGCCGTCCACAGTACTCTCGAGGTCTTAGAAATGTGGGGTGAGACTCTCCGGACCCTGATAACAGCCTAGACCTGAACATTAGAGAAAACAGTCAGCCAACCAAAGGGAGGGAAAAAGTAAGCGGCGGAGTTTCTTTTATTTTAATCATGTTATTGTTCAGGTTAAAAAAAAATGCAAACCAATAAATTCTACCTGCCAGGCATACATGTGGAAAGAAACCATGTTGGGTTTTGCCCTCTGTAAAGAGGAAAAGGAAGGCAAGAAGGAAGTCGGAAGTGGCGCAGGGAGGGGAAACCCTCCCCGTGCTGTCAGTGGCAGACGAGGGGGATCTGCTGGGCGCTGTGGGCCTCGCCTGGTCTCAGCCAAGCAGCGCATAGGAGATTCAGGCGACAGAGGGCCCGCTCTGGGATCGTCCGTCTTACTTAAGGATGTGGGCACATGAGAGGGAGCTCATATGAAGCAGCCGAACTAGGGGTTTCTAGCTTGAGGGAGGGAAAAACATCTGGGGGAATGTGTGGCCAGTGCAGTGTAAGTTACCATATTCAAGGTGCTGACAGATTTTGAGCTCCCAGGAGAACTCTCTGACACTTCTGGCTACCCCCGGGGAAGCCTGCCACCTAGAGATGTAGAGATTCATTGTCACGGGGAGGATGTGCTAGCATTGGTGGGTTGATAGATCGAGGCTCTTTGTGTCTCTTCCACCTGAGCTGCTGTGATTTTGTGATCCAGAACTGCAATTCTCCACCTCTCCTCTACCCCTACAGCCTATCAGATGGTGTTCATATGCGTGGCAAATTCCACAGTGAGCCTGGACTTCTGTATACAGTACAGATGAAACTGTACTTTCCTACCTAACACACACATACATGAAAAGATATAAGACTGATATTTTTACAGTAGTAACATCTCTTATTTATAAGGAAGTTACTCATTTTTTTTTTTTTTTTTTT